GGGCGGCTCAGCTCCTCCTTAGGGCACTGCTGGCCTTGGGCAGCGGGAGTACTGGCTGGCTTTCACCCACTTCCTTGCTCAGTCTTGTGCCTGCTGGTGGAGATGAAGTGAAGATCTCCACAGAACCTGCCGCCACTCTCCTGGTGGAGGGCATCAGAGTGTTGCCTGCTCCTGCAGAAGATTAGCTTTATGCTCACCCTGGTGCCACTGTAAAATGGCGCCGGCGCTGCTCCTGCTCTGGAAGGAAGACACAACTCCCCACTTGACCCTGCTGTAGCGGCTGGGCCAGGAGCTGCTTTCTCATGGATGTGAGGCTAGGGTGAGGTTAGTATTCATAGCCAAGGTCGTTTGCTGTTCTGTTCCCCAAAATCAATGCCACAAAGTCGATTCCGACTCTGTGAGGCGATCATGTCCCCAAGCCCTTAGGCTAGAAGGCACAGACTTTTCTGGTCTGTGGGTGTTGGCAGTTTGGGACTGGAGACTGCAGTGTCCTTCCTCATGCCCCAAGGTTCCTAAGCAGCCTGCCTTCGCATTCCACCTTTCAGAATCTCCCTGTGCCTTGTGGTTCTTCTGTTTATAGCCTGGCTTGCAGAAACAGGCTCCTCCATCCTGGCCAGATGCCTCTTCATCCATTGACTACCACGATTTCCTAGACCCCGCCATGTCTTAAGAAGCATCCAGCTAAGAACCAACACACAATTATCCAGGTCGGCATCCCTGTCCCCACAAAGCTTTTATTTGCGTGAAGGCAAAGGGGAGATGAATGCTCTAGCCAAGCTTCTAATGCTAAGACAGGGAGGAACAATTATCCACCCATCAATCAATGAAACCACGTGGAGTTCATGAAGTCTTTCTCAAACCCTTCGATGTAATTGTCAAGCACCAGACGTAGTTGTTAGATCAAAGACTGGGAATCATTTTAATGGGCTCTAGGGTTTCCCTGTCATTTGACAATATTCTTAAATGTAAGAACTAGGGAACAGTTACCCTGAGCCCATCGCTGCCCGTGAGTAGTGGAACCAGAAAACTACTGCAAACAAAACATGACCAACTCTCTCAAGAGCACCAGAGTGAAGCAGAACTCAACTGCAGAGCCCTCATGCCCCTGTCCACCTCCACACAGGCCAGCGACACCTGTCATTGGTAGAAAGCCAATGGACCTGCCATTGGTAGAAAGCCAATGGTTCTGGGCTGGGCGCTGAGTTTCCATTTTTGGAAAGTTGTCCTTATTTGGAAGAATACTGGAAATGTGATGTGACTTGTTCTGTTCCCTGGCTTATTTTTACTAATCCAATTTGTTGATATATTTTAGGAGAGCTAAGCCCAGCTTACAGTTACACAGGATACATAAAACATGAGTGTGATGGCCCAACTGATGGAGAAGTCTTAGCCATACTACACTCTGTCCTATGACCATAAACTCAAACCTTTTGTTAACTCGTTGGGATCCTACAGCACCTGAGCAGGGCTGCATGCAGGGGGTCCAAGGCTGTAAGTCTTTAGTGAAGGAGTGGCTGGTGATCTAAAACCACTGGCCTTTCTGTGAGCAGCCAAGCACTTAACCACTGCCCCACCAGGGCTGCTCACTGTGACCGTAATCACACCGAGTATGAGCCACAACCACAGGCATTTAGACTAGTTGTAATCTATGAAAGTAGTAGGGAGGAGTAGATGTAACCCCTCTCAGGACAGGCATCTTCCCATCCTCCACCTCGTGGATATACCACATGTTCAAGGCTTTAATTCTAACAAAGCAAACTGTGTTAGTCTGGGTACTTTAGAGAAACAAATCCATAGAAACTCATGTGTAAGAGAGAATTTTATATAAAGGTTAAGTGCATATTAAGAATTAACATCCCAACCCAGTGCTGCCCAAGCCCACAAGTCCAACATTAACCCATATGTCTGACACCAATCCACAAAGTACTCCTCCATCTCACAAAACACACGCAATGACACCAACTGCAGAAGGAAAGACGAATCAGTGAACGTGTAAGCATCTCAGTGCTGGCAGGGGTCTCCACACGGCTGCTCCAGCATCCAGGACTGCATCGGGGTAGGTCCATGTGGCTTCTCCTCAGAGATGTCTTGCAGGAAGTGAGCCTTGCCAGCTGAAGCAGGGAACTGGCAGGGAACTGGTTAAGGCAGCTGCACCCTGGTCTGATCATCAAACGAAAGAGACCTGAGAACTAAAAAGGTGAGGCTCATGGAGCCATTTATTTCTCTACCCTTTAATTAACTCCACCTGTGTTTATGGACCAGGTTGGCACAATAAACTAACTCAGAAACTATGCCATCTCCCAAGTATTCCTCCCAAGTTACACTGCGGCGTGGTGACCTGCACTAGGAAGAATAAAATCGAATACAAGTGGGCTTCAAGAAGCTCCTGGAACACTCCATAATCTCTTAATTCCAGGTCTCCTGGGTGGTTTGGGGGTTCCATTTATTCCTCCGAGTCCTGTTCACTCCTCCATGTTTGGGGACCACCTGTTTTGAATCTGGGAACCAGCATGCCAAGTGGGCAGACCTTCAGGACTCATTCATGCTGTCCTCTGGGCCAAAGATGTCGCTTGTGAGCATGTCTCACTTGTAGCTTATAGAACAATGGTTCCCAAACTTATTCGGCCTACTGCCTGCCTTTCCAGAAAAACAAAATTACTCCACATCCCTGGCGATGAGAAACTTGTGTACTATGGACCTATATAATTCATGGTAAAATGCAGATGCCTGCTTTTGCAGCCCCCTCTGAATCACCTCAGCACCCGTAGGGGGCAGTATTGCCACTTTGGGAAATACTGGTGTAGACTAGGGTTTGCCCTCTAAGACATGACTCCACGGGGGTCCCCGAGGTGTGTTAGCCCTTGACAGCACACAGGTGTTGAATGAAAAACCAAAGGCCCTGGTATGTGCAGGTTATAGAGTGGAGGCTATGACGGCCTGACCTTGACAGGCCTGCGTCGGCCTTCCTGGTCTCACAAGCTTCCGCCTCTGGGAGGGGGCAGCCTCATTTTGGAAAAAAAATATCGGCGCTTTCCTCCCCTCTGACAGGTTTGTGCCTTACACAGCTTCCAGCTCTGACAGGTTCTACTGCATTTAGAAAATCCCTAGTGGCTATTGTAAGAGGCCTGGTGGCACGGTGGCTGAATCATTGGGCTGCTGTTCACAAGGCTGGGGCTTCCCACCAGCTGGGCAGTGGGAAAGCAACGAGGCTGTCAAGATGGATCGTCTTGGAAACTCCAAAGGGGGGTTCTACCCCATCCTACCTTGGGTCGCTGTGTGTCAGAATGAGCTCATGGCCCTGGGTTTTTTATAGGTTTCAGTGGCACTCAGCCAAAGTCTTGGGGGTGAGGTCCTTTTAGGCCAAGCCTAGTAGCTTCTGACATCTCCCTCGGTCCCTCATCCTCATGCCAACACCCACAAGGTGATCTAAAGGACTACAGGGTGTAATACCCCAAAGACAGAATGCCAGAAGAAAAACGACCTACTCTGTGGTACAGAAAGGAGTGGGCCTGGGTGTACAGAAGAACATGATGGAAACTATGAATGCTTCTGCACCACAGGGCCTGTGGACAGCCACACACATGTAGAAATGCACTTTTTTTTTTTTTGCAGGCACACACTCAATCCCCTGGAACAAATCTGATCTGTGCTAAAATGCCCAGTGGCCCAAGGTTGATAGAGCTCATTTAAAATTCTTTTAAGGGGTAGGTAACAGGACAGTATGTCACTAAACCTAAGTCAGAACAAGAGAAAGAGAAACATCACATCTCTCACTGACAAGTAAACCCTTCTGTGATAGTTACGTAATCTGGTGCCAACTTGAGACTATTAAGAGTGAAGGGGTGGAGTTTTCAGCCTGTCAATCAGATCGCTACTCGATGACCTCATTTGGAGGCACTACGGAGATAAATAGTTTGCTGGAGATGGAACATACAGACTCTCTGCTTGGGATTATGACAAGGTACATGGAGCTATGCCAGAGCCCTGGAGCTGGAGGAGCCACGTGGAGACCCACACCAGCGCTGAGATGCTTCCACCACCACTGGATCCACAAGACTTTCCACCCACTGGCCTATGATCTTCCTGCATTCAACATCATTGCATGTGTTGCGTGAATTTGAAGAGGAATTTATAGACTGGTATTGGACATATGGGCTAATATCGGATTTATGGACTGGGCTGGGGTGTTTTCTTAATATACAATTGCTCTTTGATATAAAGTTATCTCTTACACACGAGTCTCCCTGCATTTGTTTCTCTAGTCTACCCGGACTAACACATCTCCCAAGAGAGTAAGGCGTTTCTTTCCTTGGGGGTGTCCTCTGGGCCCAATACCCGGGTTCCCTTGCCCACCCGTGGAAGGGATGAATGCAACAGCATGGCACAGGGCTTGGTGCCACCTTCCAAAGAGACAGGAAGTTGCCAGCTGGCTGGCCAGGTGGCCACACCCCTCACCCCCCAGAGCCTGGGTGACACAGCCTCAGAGTGAGTTGACCCAGCAGGCACCACCCCAGATCCCCGTCCCAGCCTCCCCTTGCCCTGGATTTCCACAAAGAGTGCTTAATGGAAAGAGGGGTTTGGGTTACCAGTTCCTCGGTCCCTGGCGAGCTTGTCCTCCTTGTCCTCCCTCTCCAAGGTGCTGCTGGAGGACGAGAGGCTGGAGCAGTTGTCTCGCTCGTTCACCTCCTCATTCTGCCTCTCTTTTTCACTGAGGGAGGCCCTCTCCTCCGGCTCTCGCTCCACCTCCCTCTCTGCTTCTGCAGGGGCTACTGCCTGGCCGCGGTCCTCAGCCACCTGTGCCACCTCCGCCGCGGCTTCTGCCTCGGGTTCCGGCTCAGGGTCCCTGGCACTTGCTGGGGGAGACAGGAGTGGAGAGAAGGCTCACAACAGTTGTGTCTGTGAAGTGTGCCGTGGGTTGTGAAAGAGGAATGCAAGGTTGGTTTTTCTGGGCTGTTCGGTGACTTCCAAAATAGCCTTCCATGATTTCCACCCTCTGCTTAGGCAATCAAACACCTATCTAGGGACTGTGGTTAAGGGGGTATTTTTTAGGGGGCAGATAAAATTGAAGTCTTAAGCCAGGTGACATTAACATAGGAAGATTACATTGGTAGTGGGCGTGACTACATCAGGTGAATGTTTCAAAAGCAGAGACGTCAGGGAGGATGAGACATGATAAGGATCTGACACGCTGTCGATGCCTTTGGAAACAGAGGCCACAGGGTGAGGAAGGTCGTTGGGCTCTTAGGGCGGAGAATGACCTCCTGGCTGACTGCCGGCAAGGAAACGGGGAGTTCCATTCCACAAGCATCAGGAGCTGAATTCTGAATCAGCCTGGAATTGACTCTTCCCAAAACCTCCCAGAAGGAGCCCACCAAACCAAACCAAACCAAACCAAACCAACCAACCAATCCACCCACCCACCTACCCACCCACCATCAGGCAAAGCCTGGCTTTCAGCCTTTGGTTAGCCGAAGGATTCAGTTGAGCTTTTGCCCAAGAGAAGCTGAATTAATAAGTGTTATTTTAAATTGCTAAGTCTATGGTAATTTGTGACACAGCCACAAAAATTAATACAGGATTCGTTTGTGCCTTCAGGAAATAGAAAGAAAAGGCATGTGCTGTGGCAAGCAAACAGCAGCTGCATCTTTTTTAAATCGGGGTGGGGTGGGAGTGGGTGGCAGTGAGGCCCATCACCCTTTGCTTGGATCTTTTTGCCCAGAATGCGGCCTTACCCCATGATATAGAAAGCTATGTGCGGGCCCTAGGCTATATGAAATCCTACCAGGCGCTACTGGAGTGCTGATTCCTGCACCAGGGTCAAGGTTCTCACGGCTCCCACCCTCCCATTGCAACCCGCTTGTGCATGTTTTTGCCGAGCAAAGCTCTCGGTTATGAGTAGTGATTTTATCAGGCTGGACAGCAGAGCGATTGAGGCCACACCCACGCCTCACACAGGTTTCAAAGACCAGGCATGATGTGAAAATGGAAGATGACCACATCGGATCCCAAATGAAAGATGGCTGCATCAACACATTGCAGCCGGATTACGTCGTTACCTAACTGCCAGATCACAGCACGACGGGCAAGCGCCAGACCACTGGGACTCCTGGCCCGGCTGAGTGGGCACACAGCTTACCCATCACAGCAGGTGTTGCGCTCACCTAGCACCTTGGCACCCATCAGGGCCAGATGAGTGTCCTTTGTGTGCACACTAGTCGGGTAGAGGTTTCACTACCGTAAATGCGAAATGTCAGATGATGATGACACTGTTGTAAATGAGGAGTAAGCGTGCAAAACATTTGAGCCAACTGCCACTTGGGACAGCCAGCGCGGGCAGGCTGGGCAAGACAACATGGTGTGGCATTCTGGTAGTGCCGTCAGGAGCGTGTGCTCAAGCCCTTGGCATACACTCATGTCAAGGACACTCCCAGACCCAGAGCCCAGGTAGGCGGGCTGGCTGGTGAGTGTGTATGAACAGAGCCCCCAGCTGCCTAGGCCCTGGCATTACTGTAGCGTTGAGACAGCACAGGCTTTAGTGGGCAGGGGGCCCAGCTGCCCTCAGTAAGAAGTGGTTCTGCCAGGACTCACTTGGCCCAACGTCCACCCCAGTCCTCCACTCCTGATCTGCGTGGAGGCTGCTTTGTCTGAGAAATGGGTCAGAGCATTGAGTAGGGAGGGGGTGAACTCCCCACCTTTCTTTATGTCCCTTGGGTAACGTCCAACATGACAGGACAGCAATTGTCCTCTGTAAGAACTGGGCAGTGCAGCGAGGGCCTCTCCCTTCGACTCTGAGGCTGTGGTTTGAGCACACATTGTGGGTCTTGTGCTGGGCACTGGGCCTCGTACAGAGACCTGCCTGTCAGACAGACTGAGCCAGAAGCTGGAAGAAAGTAGCCATGGCCCCTTGCTGTCTATGTTGTCGCTGCCGAGTGTCCCCGGGAGGGAGGTTTTAGGAACTGGCAGCAGGAGGGCAGAGCTTCAGGCACTGGCAGTCGCTGGCAATCGCCAAAGGTCACACTGACAGTGAGCCCACATGTCTGAGAATGCAGTGCACAATGCTTTTCCTTTGGAGCAAGAACTCGGCTGGCTGCAAGAAAGAGGGAGGATGCCTTGTAGGACTCCCTTTGGCATTGAAGGAATGTTTCTTGTAATTTCTTCCTCGTCTGATAACAGATTATTTAGCAAAGTGCTACAAGCCCCATTCGTTTTACAAGCACGGCGCACTCCAGCCTTGGCAAAGGCGGAGTCATCCATCTGGCTGACAGAGAGCACATGTTTCTCTACACATTGACATCAGAGTAGCCACGTCAAAACGGACGTGGGCAGGCATATGGTGGGCATTTCCATTGGTGAGCAGATGGGGGGAGCTGGCAAGGGGGCCCATCTGTCATGGTGCAAACACGGACAGGGGGTGGTGTCAGGTGGCGGCCACACACCTGTGTCTATTCACCACCCCCAGAGGAGACTAGAACCCCCAAACCAAACCCATTGTCATCAAGGTGAGTCCCGAATTCATAGCGATCTTGTGGGACAGGGTAGAAATGCCCCCATAGGATTTCCCAGGCTGGAAGTCTTGACGGATGCAGGCTGCTGCACCCTTCTTCGAGGGACTGGCTGATGGGCTCAAACTGCCACCAGCCTTTGGATGCTCTAAGCCCTGCTCCACCAGGGCTCGCTTCAGGGGAGTCTGCCCAGGTGTAGGTGTGGGGGCCGAGATTGGTGGGTGATTCCTTCTGGTCCCATGTCTACATCACTGCTGGGCTCCTCTCCACAGAGAGAGAGAGCGCGCGCAAACACCAGGACCGTGGCACCCTGGGCAGCCGTGGCCACAGATGGCAAGAGCTGGGAGAGCCACGTGGTCCCAACTTTATGGCATCAGTCTTTTGAAACAGTGACTGAACCAGGACACCGGGCAGGGGTGGGTGTGGCAGTTACACAATCTCCTGTCAATGTGTGGGTCTGAATAGTGAAGGGGTGCAGTTTCGCCTGCCAGTTGGATGGCAGCGTGATGACCTCATTTGGAGGAACCACGGAGATAAATAGCTCCCTGGAGGCCGGACCCACTCCCTCTGCCTTCCTGTTCCTGCTGTGGACACACATGAAGGAGCTGGAGGAGCCACGTAGAGAAGCTTCCACTGCCCCTGGGTCCAGACTTTCTACCCACCGCCTAGTGATCTTCTTGCATTTGGCATCATTCCGTGTGCTGCCTGAGTCTCAAGAGGAATTCTTGGGCTAATATCAGACTTGTGGGCTCGGTCTGGGCTGGGATGTTGTATCGATGCACAATGATGTCTCGATGTAAAGTTCTCTCTTCCACACATAGGAAGCTCTCTGGATTCCTCTCTCTAGTCTACCCGGACTGACACATGGGGGGATCCTTCCATCCATTACTGTGGGCAGAGGTCGGCGGCGTCCCCCAGGACCTGCCCTGACTGAACCACGGAGTCAATGTCATCACAGTGTGTCCCAGATCGGCGGCAGGGGAGGCTGCCCTAGTCATGAACAGTCCCACCAAGCCGATTACCCGGTGTCAAGATGAAGGCGCTTCATGAATGCAAGCATGCTTCGTCTTCCAGACCTAGCAGGCAACACGCAGACCATCAACGCTGGGCCCAGTATGCTTTGGGAGAGCCCTCCCTGTGGTGGAGACACAGGACCTGACCATAAGCCAACCAGAGGGGTCACAGTGGTAGGAGGCAGGTACCCAACTAACCTAAGTTGGTACCGAAGTGACTTGATAAGGTGTTGGATTATCAAGTGACAGGCCTCAGAGGGAGGGGCCGGGGCCACCGCAGGAATATTCTCCAGCTGTGTTAATCACCCTGGGGAATGCCCAGGAAAGAAGCTCCCTGGGGTCCAAGGCCTCTTCTTCCTCTCATGTCAGAGAACCCGCAGGGGTCAGCGCCACAATGTTCAGGATGATATTCAGGGTGGCCTCAAGACTCCACACAATCTGAGAGCCCCGGACACCAACATTACATCACGCCACGCCACGCCACGCCACACACACACTCTCTCTCTCTCTCTCTCTCTCTCTCTCTCTTCCTTAAGAGTCACACTGCCCCTAAGCCAAGCCTGCTCCTTTAGCAGATACAGGAAGATGTATCTTCACAACCTTACTCAGTCTCTAGAAAAGGGGAAGGCTCATTTGAGGGGACTTAAAGGGTTTTTTGGGGAAATTCTGCTGTCTTTTTCATTTTCTTTTTCTACGAACATTTTGAAGTCCTCTCCCAAGGTCCATAGGGAAAGTCCTATAGGGAGCTAAGGTATTTGTCAACACCTGGGGGTGAAAACACCAACAAAGAATATTGACGTTCCGTCGGATGCCAGGACAACAAACAACTCTGTCTTGGGAGGTGTGCATCCTGAATGCTCTTCAGGAGTAAAGACCATGAGACTTCACCTTGTGCAGGCTGGACGTGCTATCAGGAGGGGCCAGTCCCTGGAGAAGTGCATCGTGCTTGGCAAGGTGGAGGGTCAACGCAAAAGACCCACCATGTGAAGGGCTGGGAGCATGTCTTCAACCACAGGCTTACACACAACCGTCATGGGGAGGCTGCTGCAAGCCCGGGCAGCATTCCATTCTGTTGTGCACAGGAACGCTGTAAGTTAGGACCAAACAAGGAGTGAAAACTGTAACTTTCCACCCTTGCTCATCTCAGACGGAATGAGCCTTTCCACAGCACAACCATGGTGCTGGCAGGGAGGGCAGGACAGGCCCAACTCATGCTGGGGCTACCAAAGGAGCAGGGAGGAGAGACCTCACTACCTTAGCCCATGACCTCTGGTGTGTAAAGGAGAGTGCACCCCAGCACCAAGGGATCCAAGCTGCTTAGCCTCTCACCTGACAGAC